TTTGGTGTAGAGCAAAGTATCTGGCACAGCTGTATTGCCTTCTAGTAGCACTGCTTCTGGTACTACCTTAGGAAACTGTATCTCCTATTGCCAAGTACTGGTAAGCGTGTTCAAACGGTAGTCTTCTCGTCTCTAGCCTGCTCTTTTTTTCAGCGGTGTTCCATCTGATTGGGGTGAAATGCTGAAAATTAAGGCTGTGGCTCGAGTTGTGCACAGCACCAGTGCAGCCATGGTAACTGTATCCCTGTGATCTGATGGTAGTGTCTTAGACTTGGGGGGCAGGGAAAGAAAAAACAAACCCACGTGCTTTTTGAGAGTACTAGCTGGAACAGAACAGGATAAATGCTTAAGAAAAAGAAATTTCTGCTGAAATTCATACATCTAACCTTAAGGCTGTCTCCTTAAGTTACAATAATCTTTCCTTGAATGTTCAAACAAAAAAGAAGTGTACTGAAGCAGTCAACGTTACTGGTTTTTTTTTTACATTTCCACAGCAGTAGTATGGGAATTCAGGACTCATTTACACTTGCAGATTGTCAGGTGGTTGAGACAATAGTAGAACTGATGTTAAATTGTCCAAATTCAACCTTACATGTCTTGTTCTTATTTATCATCAGATTCAGGAGAAGTTTTACTCTGCAATCCTGCAGCAAGCTTAAGGTGATATAGTTTGGGACAAAGATGGAAGAGACAAATCCTGATTGCCTAATGAGAGACAAAACCTGTCCCTAATGGTGTGTTCCTTCTTCCTTGACCATGCTGGCCCTGATGATTGAAAGACCCTTTGAGCTGTTCCAGCGTGTGAACTTGGCAGAAAAACTCCTTCCCATCTTCCACCAACTGCATTTGTCACCTCTTAAAGTATTTTTTCACTCAGAAATGACTTGGCAGACATTTGACCTGTGTCAGGGAGGCAACTGAGGGAGACTGCACAGCAAGGGGTAGTGTGGAGATTCTTTTCGTAGTCAATTTAGCCTCCTGTAGCACTTCTGTCACTCTGGTCCTCATTCTGCATGTGGCTGGTGAAGTTTCAGCACACAAATGGGCCCTCTGAGCAAGGTGTTTGGAACTGATAGCCAAATCATTCAAAGTTTAAATCCTAGCATAAGTGAGCCACTTCTTACAGTATTGAAAAGTTGTCTGGGTTATCATGCAGATTTTTTAATAAACTTTACTAGTTCACTAATTAGAATTCTGGACTAGATCAGTTGCACTGATTTCTCTGCCCTTCAGCTGTCTCCACCCTAACAAATTCGTGGTGGTAGACAACATTTTAAGGCCAAGTTTCTTTTCTAGGAAGACCATCTGTTCAAGGGGTTGCTTAAGTAAAAGTTTTTGGGAAGAGATGTTCCTGATGAACTTCTATAGTAAGCCCTAAGACACGCATGGTCTAAGGAGGCCGTGTTGTTATTTTTATTTTTCCCACCAGACATTTGGAGAGGTTTGGTAAGGAACAGTGATGGATCTTAAACGATGATTTCACAGTGCTCTGCCTTGAGCGTTAGCATTAAATGGTTTTGTATTGCTAGACTGTAACTGCACTGGGGAATCTTTCTGCACCAACAAGCCAGGGGAAAAAAAAGGGGGGGGAGGGGGGGCAAATCTACTGGGTTTTTTACTTAAGCACAGTTTTGTATAAAAGCACTTGCGCTTGTTCTGACTACAGTATGGCCCAAAGAGGGAATGGAGCTAAACCATGCAGTGGCCTATGCTTCCTATTCTTAATTGCGGTCCAGACACCTTTATTGCTCTTGAAGAGGTGCTCATGTTCTGCTAGTGGTTTTGTCAAACTGATTGACCCCATGATGGGGGTGTCAGGGCTGCAAAATGAAACTGCAACTTTTTTCACCGAAGTTTTTTACATTGTAAAAAACCTAGTCTTATATAGCAACTTTATTTCAGATATAGTAGGCTATATAAGTTACTGTTTTGAACACAAGGAATGAATTACTGTAAGAGCAGCTCTGTTGAGTAGCTTGCAGCTCTGTTGAGTAGCTTGCAGCTCTTGCACTTTTTTACCAGGATGCACAAATGTTGCACTGGTTTCTATAAGCAGAGAGACCTGTTGAGTTTCAGTGTTTGGGCCAATAGAGGTGCATGGGAATGGTTCTAGAAGCAAACATATCCCAGTCCATGCAGTATTAATAAAATTTGTGTAGTCTTGTTTATGGTAACTGGTCACATAGTGGTTAACTATCTAAAGTGTAACGTTCATCAGATAATACTTTAGAACAGGCTTTACCATACTGTTGTGCTTTGCATGAAGATGGGTGCTGTCCTGGATAGTTGTGCCTTGCTTTACTTTTCAGGTATATCATACAAACACGTGAGCATGGATATGTTCTTGTGGTGATGAGTTTTCATAGTTTTATGCTTGAATGTAATATCTGCATGTGACAATACTTCCATCCTGCCTTTGCAGTTTATCTTCAGGTTTAAATTTTTGATACCTTCCATCATGGCCCTGCTTCTCCCTGACACGGTAGTACCGTGTCAGTGTGGCTGAACTATTGCTGGATGTGAGCCATCCCTGGATGTAGGAAAGCCGGATTTAAATAGACTTGAACCTCATCCAATCAGTTGATTCTTTTTTATTATTATTTTAAGGAAAGAACTCCTGTGGTTTTTCTTTTTTTCCTTTATCCATACTGCAGTCCCTTTCAATACCTAATCTGTGCTGTGGAGGGGAACGGTCTGGTGGCCAGTAAACCATCTGTACCACTGAATGGAAGTCATCCTTTTAATCAAGCTCTCTACTCTTTGTAGAGTCTGAGGTGGACTGAAAAAGTCCTGGTTGAACAGAGCAAGCTTCTGGTGGAACACCCTTCCCAGGGTATGCTGTAATACTTGTACTGCTAGTATCTTTTTAACTTTGGTTACACTGGTGTTTTTATTTTCCTATGTAATCCTACTGTATTGAATTCAGAGGCTGACTGTTCTGGTGCTAAACAATGGTATTTAGACACTGAAACTTTATTTTCAAACGGGAAGAGGAATAGCGAAATATCACAAAGACATCCTTGTAAGGGGACTAATAATAGCGGTTTTCATTTGGGTAGTTTTACTGGCAATTGAAATCTCTGTGGACAGTATCTTAAGAATTCATAAGCTCTTCTGAAAGTGCATTAAGGTAAACAGGCTTTTTATTTTGCTTCCGCATGACATAATTGAGGAAGTGACGTTCTCGCCCTTCTTGGAGCTCTAGTTTTGAATGTCAGTGTGCGTTTGAAATGTCGAAATGATAACAAAGGAAACTTTAGTAAAGCAACCTAACTCCAGTGAACTTGTTCACTTTCTCTGCTCTAGTTAGTCACTTGACTCACAAGGGATTGGCAGATCTACCAGACACATAGACCTGAAGGCCTACAGATGAAAAACACATGTGACCCTTGAAAGTATTATGGTCAATGTAATACATTGACCTTCAGGTCATGTGTATGTTGGTGACTAAAATAGCCTTAGAGAAAGTTGTGTTTAGTGTTTGTGTACGCTAAGGCTTGGAGTCTTTCTGCTGTTCTGAATAAAATGCAAATGTGAAGGCTTTTGGTTCCAGAACTGTTGGAGGTAACAAACAACATAGTATTTCAAGCCACAAAACTTACTAGCCCTAACAAAGCTAAGAAAAAACACTTTTATTGGGTGATTATTTAACTAGAATGCAAGAGTTTTTTAGTTCAAGAGGAATTTATTTGTAGTATATATCTTTAGGTTGACAGAGGCTATCGAATCATCTGCAAAGATCAAGAAGCAGCTTTGAAGACACAACTTCTTGTCTGTAATATAGAAAGTGTAAAGTTAAACGTTCTTCTCTTTGGCAGAATACTTGAAATGCTTTTGAGGTGTGTGGTTGTTTTTTCTTTTAGCTGAAGATGTATTTGTGATAGACTCTGATAGCAGAGCTTTTCAGCCAAATACTAGGTAGTAACTGACATGAATTAATGAACATGCTACTATAATTGCTACCCTTCTTAGTTGCTAGAACCTCTACTTTTTTTTCCATGAACAATATTACCCATGTTCCCAAAAGAAACAAAAGTCTTGCGTTGCTTGAAACCTGCATTAAAAAGCAAAATCTGCAACTGGTGGAAAGGAAAGGTGAATTTTTATATTAGAAATACATCTTACAGCTTCCGGAAACAGCGACATCAGAAAGAAGCAACAATTGATAGGAAACTTTTTCTTACCTATTTGGTGTTGACCAAAGGGCAGGCAGGTTAAGTGTCACACTGAAGCCAGTTATGGATATCTGATTAAGGTTTTTAATGTTACTTTGCTTTACACTGAAAGAATTAAACTATCAAAAGCAGAGGTTGTCTTAATGATGAATTTTAGGTGACCGAATGCTGTCTTCAAACAGCTGGTTACTTTGTAAGTCTGTATGTGGACTGTATTGGTTTTTTTAAGTTAACTGATTTCAGATTGAAACTGGCTGAATTGGTTATACAGGTTTATGCCAAAATAACTGGCATTCTTATTTATTGTGGTTATTCTTATTATTTCTGCTTTATTTCTGTGCATGTGTGTGGGTAAATCAGATGTTAATATAACGAGAATAGAAGACTCCTGCAAAAAAACTGTAGTAATGGGTATTTTAGATCTGAAGACATCACTTAATATGAAATTACTAATAGTTTATTAAAAAAAAAGGGGGGGGGGGAAGTCTGGATTCATGTTAGATTCCAGTCAAGTGCAGATTATAAAGACCGTTTTATTTCAGTGAGGCGATGAAGTTTCTTCCTTTGTCTTCCAAAAGTAAAGGGGGATGTTTAATTAAAGTTCATTTAAAAATAAGTAAGTCTCTCAGATGATAAGCTGCTTTTGGATTTATTCTCAGAGTACACTGCACGGAACAGACACTTTTCTTCCTAGCAAGTTGTTTCCTTCTTCAGTTCATACATCTTATTCCCTGCAAAGCAATACTTAGTATTCATGCAGTTGTCGAGCTATTGAACAGAACGTGTTAACAATGTTAAATTATAAAATGTTTGTTTTGTCGTTGTAGGAAGAAATCTGCTTCATCTAATTCAATCATAATTCAGTCCTGCTAATCTGCTAATACTGTAGATTGAAAGATTTTTTGCTGTTGCCAGGATACCCTGTAATGGGCAAGGAGCCTGAGAGAATACAAATCGTTCTGTTTTTTTAATTTTTAAAAAACTTTTGTTTTTAACAGGTAAGAAACTATTAAATTTCACCTACAGCAGTAGATTTAGCTTCTGCATCTATAAAACCTTATCTCAAATTTTAAGTGGTTCCTGAATGCTCTAAGTTTTTCATGTCCCTGACATCTACTAAAGGCTTATTTACCTGGTTTCTGTAGGTTCACATTTACCACCCTCTAAGCTGCTCTTCCTTCTGCAGTTTGGACTTTGTGGCCATTCCTTCCCTTTCCTTGCAGCTTTTTTATGACTGCTTTCTAGCTGGCTGTTTCTAACTTTCTTTTAACTCACCCTGCTGTTGCACTGTCTTCTTACTTGCCCTGCTTTGGTCTTGCAAAGAGAATCAAGGGTAATCTAGACACACTGTTGTGATTATTCTATTTGTTTTACAGGGAACATGTTTTAAAGTGTTTTGGTTTTGCTCCAATTCTTTGGAAGAGTTTCAAAGCAAATGTGTTCATGAACTGACATATATTAGGTATGAATGATGTTTAGCGCTATAGGTTATTATATTGAAGTATGGTAATGCTGTCTTCTGCAATTGAATTTTTGGTACTAAACTGCATGCTTCAGTGTAAAATTGTCTTCTGGGTAGCTGTGCCTTGTTTAGCTTGCTTTTTATAATATTATGGAACCATCTGCTTTTCTCAGTACATAAATATCTAATTTCCATTTTGAAGATAGTTGGGAGAATTCAAAATAAGAAGAATCTACCTGAATTCTGTGACCAATGAATATTTTAAATGTGTACATGTTTGGCTGTCGAAGTGGAGTTACTAGAAGATTATTCATCTTTTCTACTTGGGCAGGGGAGATCAGTGTCTAATTTTTAGTTATTGTGGGTAATTAAGATCTATATTTATTAACACTTATTAACCTGTGATTTGAGATAGAGCATAGGAGTTGGCAAGGATACACTTGTTGCTTGGTATAAAATTGCTCTTGTAACTTCATTGCAAACTGTAGATTTCAGCTGACTTTTGCACTTTTGCTGGGCGGTTATGACCTCTTGAGTTTTGATGGATTGGTGTCTTTGAGTAAACATTAACTAGTTTGGACTTGTTTATGTACTTTGGCATGTCAAAGCAATTGATTATTGGGGCATTCAGTTGTCATAGGGTTGTGTGTGTGTGTATGCACATGATGGATATACATTATCTATGTATTATGTAAAAAAAAAAAAATACATATTTATAGATCTGCTCTAAATAGAAGTACAGCTATTGTGCATAAATAAGGGAGGCTAGTGTGATAAATAAGGGCGAAAGTGATTTAACTTCCGTGTCGATTCTTAACTGTTCTACAACCATTGCAGGCTCCCTCTTCCTTTGTCTGACAGGGGAGTGAAAGTCACTACTTAATAGACAATTTGCCTCCTCATTAGGAGGAGCAGATGGCCCTTGTTAAAGAGGATGTTATGAAAATTCCTGTGTCTTCATGGTTTTCTGATGTGTCTCTCTCCCAGTCAAGAAAGGACTATCACACAGTGTGTTTTGCTTGCATTTTGCTCAAGAGTGTGTAGTTACCCTCTGAAAGTATAGCAGTTAGCTGAGGAGCGTATGTGCTGTAAATGAGTGTAACGGCTGGAAGGAATTGTGTCTGTACTACAAGCTTAAATTGTACAATAGTCAATGAACATGCTGAAGTGTTTCTTTTGTATTCTGAAACATTGTTTGGTTACCCAGGAATTCTTGATGGTATTTGGGAGAAGGTGCAGTGTTTTGTTTTTTGGTACGTAAGTGCAACTTAACTTGCAAATAGTTCAAAACACTGAAATGTTGCTAGCTTATGTACAAGCAGTGCTCCCCTGCAATTTCTGAATCTTACAACTTGGTGATGGTAACATCTTACTAAAATGATCATAGAATCATAATTTTGGGTTGGGAGGGACCTTTAAAGGCCATCTAGTCCACCCCCCCTGCCATGAGCAGGGACATCTTCAACCAGATCAGATTGCTCAGAGCCCCGTCCAACCTGACCTTGAATGTTTCCAGGGATGGGGCACCTACCACCTCTCTGGACAACCTGTGCCAGTGTTTCACCAGCCTCATTGTAACAAAAATGTCTTCTTTATATCTAGTTTGAAGCTACACTTTTTCAGTTTAAAACCATTACCCCATATCCTGTTGCTACAGGCCCTACTAAAAAGTCTGTCCCCATCTTTCTGATAAGCCCCTTTCAAGTATGAAAGGCTGCTCTAAGGTCTCCCCAGAGCCTTCTCTTCTCCAGGCTGAACAACCCTGACTCTCTCAGCCTGTCCTCACAGGAGAGGTGCTCCAGCCTTCGGATCATCTTCATGGCCTCCTCTGGACTCACTCCAACAGGTCCAGGTCCTTCTTGTGCTGAGGACCCCAGAGCTGAAGGCAGTACTGCAGGGGGAAGGGTCTCACCAGAGCAGAGTAGAGGGGCAGAATCCCCTCTCTTGACCTGCTGGCCATGCTGCTTTGGATGCAGCTCAGGATATGGTTGGCTTTCTGGGCTGCAAGTGCTCACATCCAACTTTTCATCCACCAGTACCCCCAAGTGCTTCTCCTCAGGGCTACTCTCAATCCCTTCATCCCCTGGCTGGTCTTGATACTGGGGATTGCCCTGACCTATGTGCAGGACCTTGCACTTGGCCTTGCTGAACCTCGTGAGACTCACATGACCTACTTCCTGAGCTTGTCCAGATCCCTCTGGATGGCATCCTGTCCTTCAAGCATGTCAACTGCACCACTCAGCTTGGAGTCATTGCAAATTTGCTGAGGGTGCACTAAATCCCGCTGTCTGTGTCACTGTTGAAGATACTAAACAGTACTGGTCCCAATACAGACCCCTGAGGGACACAACTCATCACCGATCTCCATTCAGACATTGAGCTGTTGACCACTACTCTCTGGATGCGACCATCCGGACAATTCCTTATCCACCAAACAGCCCACCCATCAAATTTATATCTCTCCAATTTAGAGAGAAGGATGTTGTGGGGGACTGTGTCAAAGGCCTTACAGAAGCCTGGATGGATGACATCCTTAGCCCTTCCCTTATCCACTGATGCAGTCACTCCATCATAGAAGGCCAGTGGGTTGGTCAGGCAAGACTTGCCCTTGGTGAAGCCATGCTGGCTGTTTCAAATCCCCTCCCTGTCCTCCACCTGCCTTAGCATAGCTTCTAGGAGGATCTGTTCCATGATTTTCCCAGGCACAAAGGTGAGGCTGACAAGTCGGTAGTTCCCAGGGTCCTCCTTTCTACCCTTTTGAAAAATGGGTGCAATGTTTCCCTTTTTCCAGTACTACCCTGGGCAACCTGCTCCAGTGCCTCACCACCCTCATGACCAGAGGCGGTTCCCTCAGCCTGCCTTTGTGTGTCCTAGCCCCTCACCATCTTGAAGACCCTGGACTGGACCTGCACCCAATGCATCAGTGTCTTTCCTGGACTGGGGAGACCAGTAAGGAACAGAGGCATCCAGGTGCAGTTGCCAAAGTACCAAATAAGAGAGGAGGAAAGCATTTTTTACTGTTTTCTTGGTTGGTTGTTTGTTTTAAAATTATTACCTGACCTTGGAAAGAATTCCTAATCAAACCGCTAGGAGGGACCTTGATGCTGCAAGGACAGCACTTCTTCCTGGCAGAACTGCAGTCTTCTGCTTCTCTAAAGGAACAACTGTCTGTCTAACATCTTTGCTTGATCTGTTGCTATTTATTCTTCGTGCACTACCACGGAGGGTCTGGCTTCATCTTCAGCCACCCATTGGGCAACCTTAGAATCATAGAATTGTTCGGGTTGGAAATGACCTTTAAGATCATTGAGTCCAACTATAAACCTAGCACGGACAAGACCACCACTAAACCGTGTCCCTAAGCACCACATCTACATCTCTTTCAAATGCCTCCAGGGATGGTGACTCCACCACTTCTCTAGGCAGCCTGTTCCAATGCTTGACAACCCTTTCAGTAAAGAAATTTTTCCTAATATCCCTTCTAAGCCTCCCCTGGCACAACTTGAGGCCATTTCCTCTTGTCCTATGGCTTGTTACTTGGGCAAAGAGACTGACCCCCACCTCGTTTCAACCTCCTTTCAGGCAGTTGTACAGAGTGATGAGGTCTGCCCTCAGCCTTCTCCAAGCTAAACAACCCCAGTTCCCTCAGCTACTCACCATCAGACTTGTACTCCAGACCCTTCACCAGCTTTGTTGCCCTTCTCTGGACAAGCTCCAGCCACTCAACGTCTTTCTTGAAGTGTGGGGCCCAAAACTGAACACAGGATTCGAGGTGCAGCTTCACCAGTGCCAAGTACAGGGGGAGACCTTCTCGTCCTCAGACTGAAGAAACCCCACCTTCAGGCCCCAGGGACATTGATGGCCCTCCAAGAGACTCTTCCTGTTGCCTCAGTGCAGCAGCCTGATGGAAGCCAGGTCATCCCATCCCCTTTTCTTGGGGCTGAGGGCAGAGGAGATTACAACCCTTCAGGAGAGATGGGGAATGGGAAAGAGAAGGGCTCACACCACCCATGGCAATCAGCAAAATACTTATTAATGCCAGAAGATGGAATGGGGTGAGTTTGCAGGACAGCCAGGTATGGAGGCTGGGCCTCTGTCACTGTGTAAAGCTGGGCTGGCAACTAAAGCAGATGACTGATGCTCTCTATTAATCCTTTCCTTCCCCAGAAGGGAAAGGAAAGGAGAAAAGGTAGAGACACTTACAGGTTGGGAAATTAAAACAACTTTAATAAAACAATAACAATAAAAAAAAGAGTATAATAATATTAATACTAATAATGCTAATAATAATAAAAACAAAAAAAAAACGAAACCAATATTGAACTTCCCAGTGATGATCACAGAATTGCATGCCATGGTGGCTTGCACTGCTGCGTGGCAGGGCAGGCACTGGGATATCCAGGACTGAAGTCAGCAGCAGATGGGAACCAGATTCATGAATACACAGGTTGGGATTGGAGGCAGGAGAACGAACAAAGTCTTACAGCGATGCTGGCCGGGAAAGAAGAGCTGACCCGTGTGATCCCTTAGCTTTATACTGAGTATGAGGTGTATGAGATGGAGTTGGTCAGTTTTTTGGTCACCTGTCCTGTCCTCTCCTTTCCCTCAGGTGTGACCCTTTTATGCCTTTTCACTTGTGGAACATGAGAGCCGGCAGTGACCTTGGTAACAACAATAAACATCAAGTGTTATCAATTCTAAAAGCAGGCACAGTCTGAAAAACATGTAGTCAACTTCAGAAAGAGCAGTTACTTAGAAAAAACTTAAGGAAAATCTACTGAAAAGATAATTGATCCTGTTTTACTCAACCAGGACAGCTTGCCAGCTAATGCCAGGTGCGGAGGCTGGGCTGATGGCAGAGTGCTGTCTGGGTGCTCCTGCAATGCTGTGTTGATTGTGTCATGGAGTGGAGCCCTGGCACAGTGTGGTGGTGCAAGGAGAGCCATGCTGGAGGTGGATCTACTTCTAGCCGTTCTTCTTGCTATTTGAGTGGATCGACCTCCATGGGCTCCACACTGTCAGCCAAATGAGTGATGACCATCGCTACCATATGGCTGATAGTGTTTCCTCTGACACTGCCTCTTCCTCCGTGTGCCCTGCAACCACCTTTCTGCCTTCCCACACAAAAGTGGGCAGCTGCTTGCCTTGCTGCTGTGGGACCACTTTGTTCCAATCATCTTTGGAATCTGAAGGCCTGAAAGCTCAACAAGTTATGGGCCAGCTGCTGGCTGGCATCCCTGTGCTTATAGGGTCCAGAACAAAAGGCGGTGAGATGGCTTGTGGCATCAGGAGGCCACTGTGATGGTGATGCATGTGGTCGAATATGGCAGTTCTGGGAGTTGGGGCTGTGGCCTGAAAGATGCCCTCATGTGGGAGAAGGAGGAGGCTCGGAGGAGGGCTGAGGGCCCCTTTGCTGGGGATCGCTCCCCTGTGCCATTCTGCTACCCCTTGGGCACGGGGACTGCCCTCCACCTCCCCTCGGGTGCTTGGGCTCCAGCCCCCTCCTCAGCCCCTGGACCCAGAGGGTGGCAATGGTGTTGCAGGAGGGTTGGGGATCCTCAGCCCCCCCCCACTAACCTGGCTTCCTGCCAGTGGCACTGGGGAGCAGCGGCTGAGGAGGGATGAAGCATCCAGACTTTCTGCAGGCAGGAACGGGAGGTGCAGCTGGCCTGCACAAGGTCTCCCAGCACTCAATAAAAGGATTGTTTGATTGGTTTTGTTTCCCTTTCAGTATCTTTTCTAGTTTGTTATGCCCTTCTGGAAATGGGAGGACTAGGACTGTGCCCAGTATTTGAAACACGTATGCAATACGTGTTGAATTGTTGAGGTAAAGGTGTTTGTATTTTGTGTTCTTTTTCATTCCTTTTAATTTCAAGCCATCTATTGGCTCCCTCCACCACAAAGTTTCTTTGAAATTTCATTAGCTTATAATAATAAAAGTCTTTAATTGTAAGTAATGGAGTATTTCTCAAAAATTAATTTCCACTAGGGCTTACATTCATGGCCTGAACAAGCTGTTCTGACCCTGAAGAAACTGCTACACCTTACTTTGTGTTCACATGAGTTTTTTATTCTGTATCAAATTGATCTTAGATTTTGTTTAAGAAATGTAGAAACTGTACCATGAAAACTCTCTTACATTACTGCTTTTACTTTTTATTTGTGATTGCTGGATGTAATGTAGTTAAATCTAGGGACTTGGAACAGTAACATATCTTTCTAGCTAATGACACAACAAATGTCACTGCTTTAATTTAAAAGAATTTTATTTTCAAATAGGTTATTGGGTAAGTATGGTCTCTTGTATTATTTGAAGTATTTAGTAATAAAACTAAGGAATAGTTAAGAGCAGAGTTTTTATACTACTTAAAAGCCATTCTGTTTTAATGGAGTAGAAGATAAAGAATTCCTTACTTTTGCCCTGAACTCTTAATGCAGAAGCAGCAATGTACCTGTGTTGCTGTATATGAGAGGTTCTTTCTTACATTCATCGAGTGGAAAAAGTGGAGAATTCAGTTACAGCGTAACTGTGTATTGCTATAAATTACCATTACTTTGCAGAAAAGAACTGTTTTGGTCCAGATCTTCAAGCTAGAATGCAGGTTTACAGTGGGGAATGCTCTGGCTGAGTGAAATAGGCAATTTAAAAAGTGGCCAGTAGAATGTCTTCTCTGTCAATTTGGCTAATTCTGTTTCGCTTTAAGATTTTTTCAGACAGGCACTTGTGCTTGGCTTTGTTTTGAACAGATGGTCCATTTCCAGTGTCAAAAGAAGCAGTTTATAAACGCTAGTATGGTGTCTAATTACTGTCCATTGTTTGGAGAAAGGGAAAAAAAAAGCTAGAAACTTATTAAACATACCTAGGGACTAACTGGTTGAGGTTATGTGAAGCTGGCAGAAGGGTATGCTTAGCATTTTAAAGAAATCAATGCATTTAAAGGTCTTTAAAATGTTGGTAAAATCTCTTTTAATGATAAAGTATAAGAATTTATCTTCATCGTTACTTTGTCCTTCCGCAAACCTACCTACCTATTTGGTTTTTAGAAGGCAATGGATTGTTTGCATTGGAAATGCTTTTATCATTTAGAAATGTAAGACTCTTTTGAAAGCCTGGCACTGAGGACTCCTTTGGTGGTTACTGTCTTCGCATCCAGCAACTAAGTTGTCTTTTGGTAGTTGCTACACAGGAGTTGCAAAAACCTGCTTTGCTAAAGTATGCTATGTAATTTAGGATGTGTTTCAATCATGAAAAAGTTTACTGGTGCAAAGTAACTGATTTTTTTTTCCCCATCTGTTCGCTTGGACCCTATAGTAAGAAAATATGATGGTACCTAAAGAAAATTGACAGTTACATTCTGAGTTTAGTTTTTTGTAGTGCAATCCTTGTTATAACTCTCTATGTACCATTTCTCAGATGTGTATTACAAAATCTTCGGCTTGACGCTGATACACTTTTTTTAAAAAAGTTTCTCTTGCTTGAAAAATGAAACTGAGTATTGCTGTAAAATCTGCAAGGTTCCTACCGAAAGCTCTGTGTATATGCTTTTAACATCCAGTTGTCAGCTAAAACAACCTTCAGCTGGCTAACTGAGGTCCTTTCAGTTTTTTCTGCACTGGTCTAGATCCCAATATCTGCTTGTAGCTACCAATACTCAACTGTTAGGTACAAGTGTGAAGTACCAAGTTGGAAGTAACTCCTTGCAAAGTATGTTTCTCATGTTTGTTTTACCCAGGTATGATACTTAAAAGTTTAACTTAAATGAGCATCTTACTTTAATAGTTTTCTTTCTCATTGAAGGGACTACTGAAGCTAGACTTAGAGACACAATTGTGACCACCTTTTTTGATGGAGATGCCACTGAAGCATTTGGCATCTGGAAAGGACTGCAGACTAGTTACTGTTAAACAAAATACACACAGTGTGGTTTTCTTCAGCTTTAGTAGGTAGAAAACTTCTTCAATTTTTTTCTGGTCTGAAAGAATTGCTTCTAAGCTTTATTTTTTTTCCTTTAGCAAACAATTCAAGTGAGAATTTCAGTTACCTCTATCTCAGAGCAGTTGACAGACTTTCTTCATTTTGGTGAACTGCTTGCTTTCTTCTCATATTTAAGTCAGGTGTTTATTACAAGGAATGATATTTCAGCATTCATTTGGAGAAGAATGTGTTAACAATATTAACTAAGAAAACAAAGCAGTATTTTTCTAAATGCTAGGTGTTCCTTAGGATCTTACATTATCATAACTTGAACATCAGCAAGTTGATGCAAACTTTCAGAAGTACTGTTTATGTGAATTGGAAGTCTGTTAGTCTTGCTTGCTGGGAGATTTCAGAGATTATGAAAAGCTACCTCAAGTTTCAAGACAGTCGAGTATCTGCAGCAACTTTACCATCTTTAACATAATTTTTCTTTCCCCACCTGACAGTTCTTAGTATTATCCTGGAGTATTTTGCTTCTTGTAGTATCTAATCTTGAGCATGTCTCTTATTTTGCAGTCTTTCTCATCTTGCATTGAATCCAAATGTTGTGATTTTTGTGCTCATATTGGCAATGGAGTTAAACATTGGGAGTAACACAACACAATTGCCCTGTGGAGTTTATTGTGAATTTGCAGGTAGTGGAGTTTTGGGAGGAGCACTCCTGGTTTGTGGACAAAATTCTGGCTCTGTTAATGGGACTGAAATTTGAAAAAGCATGAAGATAATTCAAAATTCCAGAGTTGGTAGGTTTTGGGAGGGAGAGTAGAACAGTAGGCTGTGGGAAGAATAACAATTAACTTTTTGTTTTTAAAACTTCTATTCAGAACTATGGTAGGCTGTTTCTAGATTATCGCCAGTGATAACGCCTAAGAAAATTCTCTTCTCTTCAGGGTTCCTGGACTTCCTCTTGGCACATTTTATGTTGTTTATTTTTCCTTGTTTCAAAGGACCTGGGCTCCTGTTGAAAAGTGATGGAATAATCTCTGGCCGGCACCTGACATGTTGAGGGAGCACCCCTAAAAGAGCTTGCCTGCGAGACAGTTTGTGAAATAACGCAGTAACATGTTCGCAGTAGTATGCCTCTTTTTCTGTTGTTGCTATTTTCTGTTGTTGAATTTCTCTTGAAATAAGTAACCGAGAAATACATTGAAGCTACTGAAATGAGCTTTAATCACTGCAGAGGGATTTACATCTGGAATTAGCATTGATAATCTTGCAAAGATGCCACTTTCACTAATTGGGGCAAGGGGAGGGATTTGCTCTGCTTTCTAGAGGCTTAAAAAAAAAACCCAAACAAAAAATATCCTGTGACTTTAGTAATGCACTGGTTTAACTTGCTTACAGTAAGTCTGTGTGTAGCCTGAATAACCACAAGCTGCTGTTTTTAATAACAACTTTATATAATTTGATTTAAGCTGATTTGTGAGATAGGTGGTTTGAACTCTACTTGTAAGTTTACTAATACTTTTGGTAGAAAAGATTTTTTTTTCTGTTTTTAACCCCTTAATCATCCGAGATCCCTTGTAAGTATTATAAGTACCAATACTGCAATTGAAATTATCTCTGTTTTTAACCCCTTAATAATCCGAGATCCCTTGTAAGTATTGTAAGTACCAATACTGCAATTGAAATTATCTGTACCTTTTCCTGATTGATTTTATTTGACTCCTATATCTTTAAACAGAAAGCTATGTAATTTATGTTATGTATGCTTACAACTACTGACAAAAGGCTGAGCAAAGTGAGATGGCATTGAGTGATCAGTGTGTAACGGTTAAAGTAACAATGAAAACTGTAAAAGCAATTAAAGCTTCTCCATAGTGAGTGTACCAGGCTTTTCAATATTTAGGCCAAATACTGGAAATCTTGCCAATAAAGACAGTCATAAGGGTTTTGATGGATCCTTGGACTTTTATCTACTTTCTAAAGTGCTCGAGTACTAAATTTGACACTTCACTGTTCTAAGTAGCTGTAGTCTGCATGCTGAATCCATTTTGACTTGGAAATAAAGCTAACTCTTAGTTTGCATAAGAATTAGATATTTCTATTTTAGTTTTTTTAGGTTTTTATAAGAGTGTATGACAAAAGCATAGTTTGATTATTGCCTTTAAGCTTGCTCCTGCATACAACCTGCAGCTTACAGAAGTATTCTCACTAAAATCGTACTGTTCACCTACATTCTCTGCGGTAACTACGTGTCCTTGCAGCTGATGATGTTGCTAATGCACAGCAGTAATTAACGTATTGAATTAATCCTTCACACTTGGAAGGCAGCTGCTAAAGGAGCAAAAAAAGTGTTTCTTTCCTTATTTAAATGAGTACTGCTTAAAACCATGCTGTTTGCAATTGTAAGGGGAGAGAAGAGTTTCTCTTAGTGTTCTCTAGTATCTATAGTATCCATTTCAGTCCACTTAAATTCTGCATTCATGTGAGACCAGCCGATACTGTGTCAGAGGGTAAACATGTAAAAGCCCTGTTTTGGAGAAGCAGGAACGGGATGAATGCTTGTATTGAGCTCAGTGAGAGGTGAAAGCAGGAGTTTATTGGATCTATCATAGACTGAAATATTCTTTTCTGATAGCACAGTTGTCTCGGTAGCAACTGCTTGCAAGGTGTCATAGAGCAACAGAATTAACATGGAGGTCCCGAAGCATTTATTTTTTTTTTTTTTTAAAGGAAAGGTGAAGGTGCTCATCCTTACACGTTTCTGCTATGACCTTTCACAGTGTTTCAGGGGTTGGGGCCACTGCCCTTTCAGATGTTTGCATAAGATATTTTATTATCCCTTGTTCTTCCTCCTTTGTCAAGTTTGTGGAGGGAGGTACAGTGAGAGAATAGGTCCTGTGATGAAATTAGCTCTAGCACATTGTGTGCTGCCTGCAAGTTCAGATTATAATGATTCCTCCACTTCTATAGGTGTTTTCTTCGATGGTAGGAGTGGTACTCTAGTGCATTTATGCAGTGCCCATTTTATCTTCTCTCAGCTCACTTAATTGCTCAGCAAGTTTTCTGAAGCTGAGACTTGGTGCATAGGTTAAAAACAAAGGTTGGGAAGAGCAAATTCAGTAAATTGAAAACTGAAGTTACTCTTTTTTGTTTAATGCAGATTAGCATGTTCCTTTCACGTAAGTAAAACCCTGGAGCTGCATAACTTTTATCTTTGGATGTTAGAATATTGGCTATTGCTAAAGGTACAAAAATTACTATGGAGTATTCAATCATCTTTAATCAAGCCTGATTTTTGTAGCTTTTGATCGTCAGCATCTACCGTTGTGTCTTATTTGAGTTCTAGAAAGTTTCTATGCATGCAAGTACATTTGGGGTTAGAAACTATGAAATACTACTATGAAGTATTGCTACAAATACTGCTTAAATAGATTTGTAAACTTAATACTTTGTGTATATTCTTCTTATTCAGACCAGCATGTTTTGGAAATTTGATCTCCATTCGTCATCCCACATAGATACACTTCTAGAGAGAGAAGATGTAACACTAAAGGAATTGATGGATGAAGAGGATGTTCTCCAAGAGTGCAAGGCTCAGAATCGCAAACTTATAGAGTTTCTGCTGAAGTCAGAATGTTTGGAAGACTTAGTTTCATTTATTATCGAAGAGCCACCTCAAGACATGGATGAAAAAATTCGATATAAGTAGGAAAACTTTTGGGGTGGGGGAGACTTGGGAAGGTGGAAAGAGGGATAACTTAGTCCAGTTAATTTGATAGTATGTCTTGAATCGCTGTGTGCTGGTGTTTAGTACAATAGTGGTATCTTTAGAGTAAGTTTGTTTTCAAGGGGCTTTGTAGAACTCTTATGCAAATATTAGAATGATTTACTTATTTTTCAAATGGAAGCCTCTTACCAACAAATACTTTCAAAACCCAATTGCTGTCCAAAGGAGGCTTACAAAAAAAAAAATAAAATTGAAACTCACGTGAAGAATCTTGTAGTTCTGATTATTAAGAAAACAGTTGAATGAAAAACCCTATTTGGGTAGTATAGTTAAGTGGTTAGATAAAACAAATCTGTGATTGGTAAGATGTTTTGAAGATGCTTATTAGAAGGTCTGTAGCACTCCTTGGAGGAATGTACTTAATGTCTTATTGCTGGTGTTCTCCTTTGCAGAGCTAGAACTGTAAGAATTGGTTATGACCATGACTTCAGCTAGCTTGCTAAGAAAATTCAAACTCAAAAGTCAACCTAGGAATTTGTATAAAAGCACTTCTGCCATTTTTGATCTATCTTAGAGTTGTCTATGCAAAAAGCTGCTTTTTTCTTAAAACGGTATGTAAAAAAAGGAGAAATAAGCTACGCTCTTAGTTGCAGCCCTTTACCATTTCTGGTAAACCAAGCCTCCTCTAAGTGTTTCTAGTAGAGTTTGAAATTGAAGCATCTTTTGCTTAGAAACCTTAAACTGCTGATGCTGTCAAAATTGCCTTTAGTGTGAGTGGGTGATAGTACTGTCAAATGCAGGAAATTGCTGGTCTTGATGGCCTCTTAGTTTAATTATTCAGTGTTCTGATCTGTGCTTCTGACTCTGTCATGAAGCAGTACTAGTCATGAGGCTAGTTTTCCAGGCTTTTGTCAGACTGACTAGTTGACTGAGTTTCTACATAATTAAGAGATATATATAGATAGATAGATTAAAAAAACCCTGAAGCTATTCCTTTTGACCTTTTTAATATAATCCCTATTAGAAGGGGGCAAACACACTGCTCCCTCCTCAATATTGGTCCAGTACTACCAGTCTGCTTAACTACTTAGGTACTAACTTTTTTCCCGTCATAAAAAGTGGCTTCTGAAATGAGAAATCGGTACTTGAGCAGGTGGATTTAGCAATAGATGTTAAAGATTGCCCTTTCCTTTCCCTGCTTTCCTAGTGTTGTCCTGTTGTTACCGAAGAGCAGAGTAGTCCATTTCTTAAATGAAAGAACAGCATTTGTAGGCTGAATGTGCAGTTACGTTACCTTGCAGTAGTTTGCCTTAATTAGTGTCGACCAAGCCTGCTTGAAAACTTGGTTAGAAGCCTTACCAGGTTCTGAATTCAGAGCTGGAAGTATGACAGCGTTGAAGTATGAGTGATGGGTAATTTTTTTCCTTTTCCTCAGATATCCGAACATATCCTGTGAGCTGCTTACATCGGATGTCTCACAGATCAATGATAGACTGGGAGAAGAAGAATCCTTACTTATGAAACTGTACAGCTTCCTCTTAAATGAATCTCCTCTAAACCCTTTACTGGCCAGTTTCTTCAGCAAGGTGCTAAGTATTCTTATAAGCAGAAAACCAGAACAGGTAAATATTTACAAGCTTTCCAATTTAACAAGTGCTTTTTATAAAGTTGTAGTACTTGGCAATGCTGCTTTAAGAGTACACACTTAAGGGATAGCAGTGGAGTCAAAGAAGAGCATTCAACTTCCATACTAGCTCAAGACACTATCTTTTTTTTGTGGTGTGCATAGGATTACAAAATGTATCTGGATGCGTAAGACATATTTGATTCAGATTTGCCTGAGCTATTTGCACAATCAGTGTGTGAGTGCTTACCTCTTGGCTTAGCTTAGCTCAGTGTTTTATATGATGATCTTTGCATTATTTGCTGTTAGAGGTGAAGGTAAGTGAATTGAATCGGTGGGAGTGGGTCCAATTTGATGTGAGGAATTGTTTTAGGACAAGGTGAGAGACATTTGGAGTCCTTGTTCAGAAATGTTGTACTCTGGGTTCATGTGGCCCAGTGCTGCAAATGACTGCAATGACTGGCTCTCATGCCTGAGCAAATTAAGTTTGTGACTCTCTTCTGTATCTTTAATTTAGCAATCTCTGTATTTGTTTGTATTATGTTAAGGTTTTGCTGTGTCGAGCTTTATTCAGTAAGCAACGATGAGAGTAATTCATACCAAAAAGGAAAACTGACTGTGCGTTGGATTATAGGTAGTTCATGGTCAGCAAGTTGAGCTTGAGAGAAGGCCCAAGACACACTGCATATAGTATGGATCTGTCCTGTGCCACTTTCACTACTTTATACGTCTGTATTATTTTATCTTGCCTTGTACTGCAAGCTTGAATTGGAAGAAGTGTTTTAAGAAGTTCTCATTTATTTTCTCCATTTGGTAGGAGAGAGAAGCTAAAACTGGTCAGTGTAATTTACCATGTGAAATACAGATGAGCCAATGTAAGCTTACTTCTTTTTAATTTCTAGATTGTGGATTTTTTAAAGAGGAAACATGATTTTGTAGACCTCATTATTAAGCACATAGGGACCTCTGCTATCATGGACTTGTTGCTCAGGCTACTGACTTGCATAGAACCTCCACAGCCCCGGCAAGAAGTGTTAAATGTAAGTAAAACGTCTCAAAGAATTTTTGTCTGATGTGTGTGAACTGTAAGATGGATTATCTTCTGCTGGTTTTACTAAGTCTATTTCTTAAATGTGCTGAAAGTAGATGTGTGGGGTTTCTTGGTGTGTGTGTGTGGTTTGGTTTTGGTTTGGTTTTTTCCCCCCACCTCTTGCAGCTGCCAGTACTTCTCCAGTGGAGCCACAGCACTGGTGGGGACATCTTAGAACCTGAGTGGCTGGTCTTTCTCCCCTTCTTTAACTTAGAACTGCCAGATGCAGTTTTTAAAATGTTTTGGACCTTACTGAACGCTTTTTTTGGCGTGCTTTTTTAGAGTTGCTCAGAAACACTGATTTTTCTTTTTTCTTTTTTTCTGAAGCATTGTTAGTCCTTGTTTAGGAATATGGACAGTATGACTTGTGGCAATTGTCAGACTACAAGTTTCGTTAATTTTAATTAATTCATTCATTCGCTTGCATAATGTTGTTACTAACACCCACAAACATTTTGCAGTGGTTAAATGAGGAGAGAATTATCCAGCGGCTTGTGGAAATTGTACATCCGTCTCAAGATGAAGATGTAAGTATTAGTCTGACACTCTTCTGGGTTCTATCTGTTCAGCAAGTTGTTATACAACATAAGGTTAAAACTTCTAGTTTTCCTCTTTTCTGCTTGCATTTTTCAGTAAGCTGATTTCAGTATTTTAAGTGTGGTCATTTTAGGGAGGGTATGTGGTTTTTCCTTCCCTCGCCCTTTGCTTGAATGTCTTTTTGAGTAGGAGAGACTCTTGTCCAAGTTGAAACTTTTACCTTTTTAAATTGAAGAATTGCGGTGCGGCATGTTATTACTCTTAAAGTGAAAAGCTATGTTTTTCTGTTCCAGAGGCATTCAAATGCATCACAGTCACTCTGTGAAATTATTCGTCTAAGTAGAGACCAGATGTTACAAGTACAGAACAGTTCAGAACCAGATCCACTGCTTGCAAGTCTAGAGAAGTAAGTTGGTTTGAATTTCTGATTTTATTTTCAGCTCATGAAAAACTTAAGTTTTAACTTTTGACCTTGAAAACCTTTAGAAATGGCAAGCTCTGCTTTTCAGGTGAATTTTTCTTGGCTACGCATCATCTCTGTCTGTAATCTGAAGTAACTCAGCAAGTAAGCAGAGCCCACCTGGAGGACTTTTCAGTGGGGGAGTTGTCTCATTGAAATATTTCCTGCGCTGCCAAAGTTAGTGAGATCAGACACGTGGAAGTCAGCTTGATACTGTGCAGAGTACACATGGAATACTTTGGCTTTGATCTGTTTGTTTTTAAGTTAATCTAAGTGTGTGTTTCTGCCAGAAAAGATTCTCCTGTATTCTTCCTTTTGCTGGTTATACGTTTGGGTTTGTGTGGCTGTTATGGCAAGCTGATTCAGGTTTTTGATCTGACTGAAAACTCCCTTTTTGTAGTGTTGGTTGTCAGATCAAAAGACTAGATCAACGGAAGGAATAGGAAAATATGATTGGGGCAGTGAGGATGGAAGTGATTCTCCTAGTGGTAACTGCTAGCTTGAAATAGCTACTACTTTTCTTTGTATTATCCTCTTATTAATTTTACTTTGGCAAATGGTAACTACTTCTGTTAACAGCTGTATCCTGAAGTAGTGTTGTATCTGATGCCAGTGCTTTTCTTTTCAGACAAGAAATCATAGAGCAGCTGCTGTCTAATATTTTTCATAAAGAAAAAAATGAATCTGCAATAGTCAGTGCAATCCAAATACTATTGACCTTACTTGAGACAAGACGACAGACGTAAGTGTTCTTATTTTGCTTAAAGTTATGCCTGCATAATTTAATTAAACTACTGTTTGGCAGTAGCAGGTGTCTTCCATGTCCTTAGGACTGAACCATTTTTGTGACTTGTTGTAGCTGGAAAAAGTAAAAGAGCAAACCAAGTGATTGCAGTTGGCGTTACTACACTTTCACCAAATGACTGGTCTTCAGTTTTTTCTAGAAGCTAGTTTAAGTGCCACTTGACAGATCAAACTACACTTCATCAATTTGTTTCTGGATACAAGAAATAGAATAGATACGTACAGTGCTGCAGTGAGTAGGCATTGACTGTTTAAAAAGTTGTTTGGAACTTTATTACAACTTCACTTTGCGAAACAGCTGAAAAGATCCCTGGTACATTCAACTTGTGTATGTTTTCAGGATAGGCGAGTGAAGCTCTTTATCTGCCTCAGAGGAAATAGAATAGCTGTAATGTTTAATCTCAAAACCATATTGGAGATTTCAAGCACAGTAAACCTAAAAATACTAGGGCTAGTGTTTGGAAAAAATCTTGTTCAACCATTACTTCACCCTTATTTGTAACCTTATGGTTTTACTTGCCTCTTCATTCTTTTCGTCTGCCTTCAGAACTGTGACACTCTCAAAATGATGTCTTAAAGATGTTTCACAACTAGTTTTGCTATTAATTATCAGATTTTGCTTGTGTGTGTTTTAGATTTGAAGGCCATATAGAGATCTGTCCTCCAGGCATGAGCAATGCAGCATATTCAGTCAACAAAAGTGTTTTAGAAGCCATAAAAGCACGACTTTCATCCTTCCATGAACTCTTACTTGAGCCTCCAAAAGTAAGTGAAACCTTATGTTACCAAATTAATGGAAACAAGACTGTCACAGTGTGACACTATTTGGGCAGGTTATAATAACAAACAAAACCCAGTCTGACAACTTCTGGGCAAGTGCCCAGGCTCCTTCCCAGCCCGTTGTGAGCTTTGCTGTTCATTATTGTTACCCCTGAGCCAATGTGTTGTGCTAATTGATATGCTTTTCCAGCTTAAACTTTTGTTTAATTGGCAGAATAGCCTTGAAGCAATTATTTCTTTCAGAAAGCAATGAAAGGGGATCTGGTATATATTATCAAGGTGGGTCCTGTTTTCTGCTTAGAAGTCCTATCTGGATAGGAAACATGGACTATAGATGCTTCAGTTGTTTGGAACTTTGGCATGACCCACATGAAGCCTGCACAATTCCTCTAGACTTGCCTGAGGCTCAAGCAGACCAGCTCCACCGCATGCACCCGGCACTGTAGGCATGTTAAATTCTTTGGGCTTTTTAACTGATTTAGGCAACTTACCTGTGTCGTGCTTTTGCAAAAGATAAGTACAAAATGTATAAATACGGGGTTTACCTATGATCCATTTATATTCTTCCACTCAAATTTTCACTAGCAGAATTTCAACTGTAGCACTGCACCCTGAGCTGGGTGCCACAGTGCATAAGAGAGAGAAAGATCTGTGGGCCAAAGTGGAAAATAAGAGGCCAGAGGTGTATAAAATACCAGAGAGGGGGTTCAAGGTAGTGTTAAAGCTTATTTTAGCCTGGAAAAGATGGGACCTCAAGATTTCCAAATGCAGAAGAGGTAATAAAATGTGAAGAAACAGTCTTAACTTTATTTCAACAACGTGGCAAGATACAGGTACATACTACAGTAAAAGGAGAGTCACGTAAGATACTTGACTATTTTCTGATGGTCGGGCATACTTCGCGTTTGAATAAGTCATCTAGTGAAGGTATTGAATCTGTTGCTCATTTTGAGCACTAGTTAAATGAGCATCCTTAGATTTTTGCCTTATGTACGGAATGGACTAAATGAACTCGCAGGATGTCAGTCACCTTTTTTTCTGATGCAAGGGTGGCACTGGTGAGGCAAAACCAGCATCTGGTGTTGTAGAAGGCAGCAGTGGTCTCCTTGTCAAAATACGTTTGTGCCTTGAGATAGGAAGACATTTTCATAATGAATTCCCCTGTACATTGCATATTTGCTACTAGACTTTTTAAGCTCTTACCGTAACTAATACCAGATTTTTGTTACTGGCTGCCACTTAGTTATGTGACAACAGTTCTGGTTTGTTAACCAGCTCAAATGTCAGTGTAAGAACCGTGAGATTTATGACTGTAATACAAGGACCCATTAGTGCACGGAAAGAGATTCTTGCGGTGTTGTAACTCCTTCAAAGACTACAGATGGAGCTTGTTTCATGTATAACATTAAAATAAGACACCAGAGAAGCTTGCTGCTTAATGAAGTTGGTTTCAAGTATATGAAGTTGGGGTTGCTGAGGCATTTATTTAGACTTGCATATTTTTAGTGACTGTCCACCTAGCTGTTTTGTGTATATTTGTCACTCTTTAAGGCTAGGCCGGTGCTTAAAGCAGG